TGATGTGTTTCCAGACTATTGAAGTCAGTGATCATAGTCTCGTGGCTTAAGTGATTCAGATCTGTGTATCCGAGTAATTTGTATGCATGCATAGCTGTTTGTTTTACTATTTACTGCCGCTGACTAGCTAAATGATTTTCAAGGCGACTTGTTAATCAGTGTGTTTTGTTGCACTGATTCGGTAGATGATGATATTTGTAACTCAAGATGGCACTGATAGTTTTTGTTAGATTGCGACCACCTCTTATCGATAGTGAGTGACTTTATCAACCTGACTTCAAAAAGGAAACTACTTCTACACTATATGATCCATTTATAAACTGCTCTTATCATAGATTGTTGTAGATCGTCAGTGGTGAATAAATAAATATTTTTATTCTCAGGTTATGAATTTAACATGAGAGAAGCCGTTTTACAGGCATCATCAAATTGATAAATGCAGAGAAACCTAAAAGGTTTGAGCAGAGTTGAATGGTACAGAAGGGAGGACATTAAACTCTATCATGATATCAAGTGTCCGAAAGTTATGAAAATAACAGGGAAATATCACTTTGCAGTACATACATATCGTTCTGAGTTTAGGTCATTCTTACTCACAATTCTTTTTTTCACACTGTAATGGCATCAAATGGCGCAATATTCGGTGTGTTTGTGTTATGAGTAATCGACATGATTGACCCATCTGTAAAACCCAGTGTTTCGTCAGATAAACGTCGATTTTAACAGCAATTCTTTTGTTCGTAGCTTTAATGACCAATAATAACTTACTTCAAGGATTTTAGGAATAAGTAAGTATCCGTAAAATCATGTAATCCAGGTAAATGTCTAAAATCAGGCACTTCTCACTCTTCAAGTGTTACCTTTCCCAGCAATTCAAATTGATAACACTGCAAGCAGTTAAAGACTGGAAGAATCTTCGTTCAACAGTGGTGAATATTACACATATGTAAAACTTCATAGATTTCACATTCATCATCATCATCATCATCATCATTATTATCAACATAGGACCAGGTATTACTGCGGAGCGGTCCGAGTTTCCACACCTCACGGCATTTCATCAAGTAGAAAGGTAGTGAGGTGAAGGATGAAGATAAGTGAATGCAGTCAAAAGAAATATAAAGTACGAGAAGAAAGGAAAGAGGAGTGACAAAATGGTGAGATTCGTTATAGCGTTGTTAAGATGAGGATAATATGTGTATACATCTGCACCACTGACATCGGTTCTTAGCCGTGCCATCACCTAGAGTCAGTCTCCGACCACTGGTTCCTCTTGTCCCGTGGACCCCAACCACTTAGTCTGCATCGTCCTACATGGCTTAAACCGATAGTCAGAGACTTCATACATTGATTGGTGTCATGTTTTAGTCTGGCCTCCTCGAGCCTTTTTCCATCCTGCACCCACCTCAGCCAACATTGTGTGACGAGGCAATCGGTGACTAGGCATACGTAGTACGTGTCCCAACCATCTCAGTCGATGAAGGTTCACAACCTCGTCAACTGACTTACCTCTTCTCCCCAAAACTCTACACCTGACTTCTGCATTACTCACATGGTGACACCACGGAATACGGCGGCCTATACTACGAAGGCAACGGTGGTCAAACATCTGAAGCCTTTTTATATCTTCCACTTTCAATGGTCATGTCTCACAGCCATACAGCAGAACAGACTGGGCTGCTGTGCAGTGCATGCGACCCTTAATAGACAAATGGATATCACGGCGGCGCCATAGGTGGCGCAATCGAGCCTTTTGTATCCGTGCAGAAATCTCATCGGCAACTAACGCACCAGGGTTGATCTTACTTCCCAGGTAAGTGAAGTGGTCAACACACTCAACCCCTTCACTGTCTATTGTTAGCCGTGGTACCGCTGAAGACCAGTCCTGGAGCAGCAATTTGCATTTGAGTGGTGAAAATCGCATCCCAAACATTCTCAAATCCCCACTGAAAGTGTTCAGAAGACTCTGCATCTTGTCAGCGTCTTCACCTAACAGGACTATGTCATGTCATCTGCATATTGTAGATCTAAAGAAAATTCACCTGTGATTGGGTCAACGTTTGTGTAGTTAGGTGACGAGAGGGAAACCTCCATAAGAATATCTGTGATGAAATTGAATAAGAATGGAGATAGTGGGCATCCTTGATGGGCACCACTTGATGAGTATAGCTCCCTGGACAACTCGCCATAGGCTCTAACATTCCGACAAGTGTTCGAGTAGAGGGCTTTCAATAAGGTGATGTACTTACTAGGCCCGCCTTTCAGTGACAGACATTGTCATAAGACTTCTGGATCGACGGAGTCAAATGCCCCCTTCAGGTCGAGAAATACAGCTGTTGTCGGGCGTCTGTAAGCATGCCTATGTTCCAGGACCTGGCGCAGAGATTTCACATTGAAGTATGCAGCATTGACTCGGAGATACATTGGCTGTGAATCAACTGCTGTGAGGTGGATTGAAACCAGACAAAGTAGCAGAGAAATCTGTTGCATAGCATTATTATGGATGTGTTGCCGTTAGGTAAAATGATCTCTCGGGTTGGATTGTTCATCAAGATTTCCGCTGTATTTTTGACGGACCAGAAATGCGAGACCAGTTATTGTGCTTGAGGTTTCGTATGTGATAGCACTTACTTTTTTAGTGTTGTCTGCCGGCTTAGTTAATGTTAGTGAAGAAATCCTGTAATATGAATATATGTTTCATTGTTTATATAATACTTAATTGGTGACAAATTTGATAATTTTTCTGTCAGTCAGTTAAACACTATCTGCTTAGAATTAATCCTTTAAATTAGTTCATGTCTATATGTCTGTTGACTACCTTTCCTTCTAAAATGGTGTGTGGAGTTTCTAGTAATTCTATTTCAAATGTTAAGTTTTCACTCTGTGGAATTTCTCAATCAAAAATAAGAAAGATATATCATATTGTTTTTTTTTTTAATTTATGTTCACAAATTGTCTGAAAGATTCAACTTCTAATTTGGTCAATAAAGTAAAAATGACCCTGTCAGAGACTCTTGGAGGGGTTCATTTCATAATGAACTACTAATCATATTTGTTATCGCTGACAAAAAAAATGTTATCATGTAGATTGGAAATTCCTGTAATATGAATAAATCAGATGGTCTAAGGTCAGAAAAATCAGCAAAGAACGAAAATGTATTCTCCATTTTAACAGTTTAGTAACGCTAAGAACTATTTTATATTTTTATCTTCATTGGTTTCATCATTGATCCATTAAACTTAATTTGATTTATTCAGCCTTATGACATCATCAAACCTTATATATTTTATGTGACTCAGTCTAGTGTATGAAATTAAGTGGAGCTCTAGCTGGTTGGCTTAGGGAGATAACTATCAGTTAGTGAGTCATGGGTTCGAACCCCGCTCCACCTACTGAGATTTTGGTAGTATCATAATAGATATAGTTCATCGCCTACTTCACATATGTGCATAAGGTGACTGAGTTCATTTCGTTTCGTTTGCTCTTTCACATGAAATTAAGCATTTCCACAAATATCATGATATATATATATATATATATATATATATATATATATATATTATTGCAGACCTTGTTTTGCTTTTTTTAAATGTCTGTAGTAGGTTTGACTAAATTTTTCAAGTTCTGCTTAACGGTTTATAAACTTGTACAAAAAGTATTATGGTTATATACCTCCACGTGAATTTGTCCAGTATCATTTCATAAGTGTGCGAGATATTGAATATCTGGTCGAATGTATTAAAAGTAAATACAATACAGCATGTACTTTTTTATAATTATTATTATGTTTTGCAGTAACTTGTATTGGTGTTACAGTTGGTATAGTGTGACACATGTTAAGCATCATTAACTTTTCATTATTTTGGCATTTGTATTTCCCAATAAACGTAGAACAAAGTAAATTTGCTTCAACTGACATTCGGTATTTAGTGTTGCCAGTAGCTTCATCAAAGTTATAGTAAACCGGAATTTAGGATATCCAAGCTTATATATGATAACTTGATAAGTGTTCTTCTGCATGAATGATTCTGCGTCGTCAGAATTGTAGAGTAAAGATGATATGCACATGTAGCGTGTTGTGTGTAAATTACAGATTGAGATTTGTATGTACACATGTGTTGATAGTTCTCATGCTATGCATGATGGTTATTTCACTATGTGGGGATGAGTTGAGGCTAGGTTAAACTACGTTTTATTCCCGCATTCCTTCCTGTTTAGACAATTATGATCCCACTTAATGTGAAGAGATTCTGCTATGAGACGTTTTTTATAATTTTTGAAGCCTTTCTGAATAATTTCGATATCGTCAAAGCCGTCCTTTTGACCTGAAATTATAGCGTGTAGAGTTATGGCTGAAGTATTTTCAAGTTTTATCAATTCCACTGGACTTCTAGTAGATCGGGTGGAAGCTCTTCGGTGTTCATTTTTCCTAATTTTGAGTTTATGGGAAGTTTGTCTTATGTATGTTACCTCACAGTCTGAGGTGCCCTCCTCAATAGACTTGAGGAAACAGAAACTTTCGCACTATTCGGATGTGATAAGTTGAAATCTAAATATTTATTGAAATGCTTTGCTACCCTGAAAATGGTTATACCTAAATGTCCATTTTCTTTTCGTTCAACAAGACAGTCAAGGAAAGGTATTTCCCCCGTATCCGTTTCTTTTTCTGAGTTGAGCTTGAACTGGGAGATCTAGAGTTCAGCTGATCTAAGATCTAAGTCGCGTTCAAGCCATGGTTAACTTTTTTTCAATTTATGCTACATTTTGGTTAAACAAAAGATTTATGCAATGACCTTTTCTATTGATTGACTCAAACGTTCAGTTGACTATAATAATGTCTGACAGATACTTTTAACTGGTATTCTCAGAATTTTATGACTTTTTTAAGTATTAATATGCCACTCATGTGTGCACTATTTGAATTGTACATTGAAATTCGTTTGCATATTGGTCTCCTAAGATTTTACATGAAAATAAATTCCACATGTTTTATTTTTAGAAATCTGCTTATCGGTTCAAAGCAAAACAAGTATCTGGGAATATCAGAAGGTGTGGGCCCAGGCGGCCAGAATTACCACTGAAAACATTTGACAATCATAATCCTATTCACAACGCACAACCTAATGTATCATCTTCTATTCCTATTTCTTTCTCTAATCCACATGTAATATCAAATTCTGATACATTGTTCACAAAGTTTCTACCCAACACTAATCTTAAATCAAATAGTATCCAACGAGATAATAACGTTTGTAACGATAATGTTCAGTCAGTTTCCAATCATATTAACTTGCCTTTGGATAATGAATATGATGCAAAAATGCATGGTAGTACAGATCTGTTGTCAGTGTCCTCGAATGTTGAAACCTATTACTCTAATAATTCCAAGACAACACGAAGTCCTTTATCACGTGTCTCTTCACGAGGTAGTATTGGAGATGACATGTTTTCTGAACATCGATTCAATTCTTTAGATATTGTTTGGGCCAAATGTTTGGGATCACCATGGTATCCAGCTATAGTGAGTTAAACAGTTTGATTATAATCACCCTATTACATTGATATTTATAACGGGTAAAAATGTTTCATACTGTTGTCATTTCAGTAAACTTCCTAAATGAGGTTATCCATGATGCCATTCTTGAAAGTGGTATAATTGTGCGCGCTAATGATAGTCATTCGCTGGACTAGGGAAAGGACCCTAGAAGATTTGGATTTCGCCAATGACTTTTGGCACAAACCTGAAGATCTACAGGCAAAAACTAACAAGTTGACAAAAGAGGCAGGGCAGCGAAGACGGGACTTAAAGTGAACGTAGAGAAGACAGAGGTAATGAAGATACCCAACCAACCTCACCACCAACAATAACAAGCTCCAATCACCATCAACGGGAGAAACTTGAAGGAAGTAGACTCCGTCACCTGTCTAGGAAGCACTGTTCCAACTACACGCCGTGGTGGCACAGACGAGGATGCCAAAGCCATTCAGGATCGGAAAGACAACAACACAGGCCTTCATTAACCTGAAACCAGTGTGGAGATCTTCTGCACTGCACTGCACTCAGCCAGCACAAAGCGTGAACAACATCTGGATTTTCAACACCAACGTCAAGTCAGTGCTTCTGTGTGATGGTTGAGAGACTTGGCGCGTTACGAAAGGGATTTGCAATAAACTACAGACATTCATCAACAACTGCCACCTAGGCTGACTCGATAGTGACACTGAAGCTGAGATGGTGAGAATAATAAGAATAAGCAAGGAGGAATTGTGTCTGGCTGGCGACGAACCAACCAAGAACCTGTCGCTCAATAAGTATGCAGAAGGAAGTGAAGATGGATTGGGCATTCACTGAGAAGACCATTCGGGGACATCACGCGCCAGGCACTTGAGTGGAACCCATGTGGGAAGCGACGAGTTGGGCGTTCGAGGCGATGGTGACGTGGATGAGATGGTGTGTGGAAGAAATAAGAGCTTCTGGGCAGTCGTGGAACCAAGTTGAAAAGATTGCAGAGAAGAGAATGGAACGGAGACGTACCACTGAAGCCCTTTGTTCCACTAGGAACCCAAGGGACAAATAATAATATAAGTTTGAGGATATCTTTAATGGGGTATTCCAAAGCAGTAGGATAGGAAGTCGCTTCTAGAAACACACAGAGATCGTGTAATTATACATACGATGTTTGAATGTATCACAAGCATATGAAATTTAACACTATGGAAATTCTTTCTAGATGCGAAGTTACCTGGTTAAATATCCGTCCAACAAAAGGAAATAAAGTGTAGGGACAGATAAGGATCCACAGTAAGTTACTAAATATGAACTGATTAATAGTAATGACACTAGAAAATTTGAAGTAGATACTAAGACCATGGTTAAAAGAGAATGAATACACTTCTTCACTTCGAGTTTAAGATGGAATTGATCGATCACCGATCTCTCTCTGCTATTCACAAGTTGCGGAACTACAGTCCTTTCGAATCATTTTGTGTAACCGAAATCGATCAGATGTTGATGTATTGGCCTGTTGTTTGTCTTACGCCTACCTCTTGATGGCTATGTTTGTTTGGCTTATGTGACCAACTCCACAACTGCAAAAAAAGTACCAACGTTTACTAATCTAGCTCAAACCGACAATCTATCCTTAATATGTTCATAAGTCAGTCGCTGACTAAATATATCTAAGAAGTACACATATCCAAAACAAGATACATCTTTTAAGAAATAGTCAGTCTCGTCTCAAGTTGATTACCTCTAATATCAGAATTATTGAACGAATCGCACTTTAGGAAAACGTTGTCCACAGGAAGTGGTTAGTACTGTACTATAGATAATTGACTTCAGTAACTCACTATTGGCCTCTTTCTCAAGTAATTTATGTTGTCATAGGTTTGGATGTCAGTAAAACTATCACCATAAACATTTTTTGTATTGTTTCTCTGATAGACGCGATGATATAGTAAGTAAATCAATTAAGTCTTACACTTTTCCTTCGTACTATCATAACTAACTGAAACAAATTACGACGATATTTCTTCTATACTATGAATTTTTCTTTCAACAGATTGTTGATCCAGATGCAACCGAAGGTTATTCACACAACGGTGTTCCTATCCCTCTACCTCCAGAATCAGTACTCAAATGGGGCAAACGTATTGCCTCTAATAATTCCAGCAATGATTTTGAACTTTTACTTGTCCTTTTCTTTGATACGAAACGCACATGGCAGTGGCTCAGTCCTCAGAAACTTCAACCTCTTGGAATTAATAAAGAACTCGACTGTGAAAGGTTGCGAGAAGGAAGGAAAAGTAAAATGAAGCATTCGGTAAATTGGTCTTTAGTTTTCAGCATGTAATGTTTTATAAACTATGACGGTGTCATTCTTCTACTGAGCATCTTTAGACGGTCTGGTAGTCATGAGACATTATATATATATATATATATATATATATATATATATATATATATATATATATATAAGCCTAGATTAAACTACAATTCATACAGAGAATACTTTCCTTTACAATAGTTCAAGTTTAATTCTTCCTAGTTTCTCAGTCTCTTTACAAACTTTAGAAACTTACTCCTTTTGTTAGTTGTATGTTAAATATCTGTATCTCTAACAATAATTTTACGTGTAAGTACAATGATTTAAGATTGTTTAAGATACATTCTCACTACTGAAGTGTAAATTGTTTCTCTACAACTGGTCTGCGTTGGAACCGAATTTATCGGTAGGGAGTGAAGTATCTGAACGTGTTAACCACTTCACTTACCTAGGAAGTTGGATGAATCCTGATGTATCAGTGACTTATGAAAGCTCGACGCGGACACAAAAGGCTCAGTTGGTTTTCGCCAATTTACACCATTCATGACGCCACCGTTATATCTGATTGTCTCTTAAGGGTTGAGTGTACTGCTCTACAATTCGCTCTGTTCTACCTAATGGCTGTTAAATGTAGAGGATGTGAGAGGGTTTCAGGTGTTCGACCATCGCTACCTTCGTAGTATAGGCCATGTCTCGTGGTGCCAGCACATCATAAACATAGGAGTCATGCTTAGAGTTTTGTGCAGAAGAGGTGATCCACTTGTTGAGATTATTAACCTTAATCAACTGAAGCAGCTGGGACATGTGTTACGCACGCCTAGTGACCATTTGCCTTTTCGCACAATGTTGGATGAAGTAGGTTCAAGGTGGAAAAAGGTTAGATTTGACCAGGCTGAAATATGCCATTAGTTCATGAAGTCTTTGGTCGCTGTTCTAGGTCGTATATAGGAATGTATACTTCCCAACTGGGGTCTGTTTTACAGGAGAAATCAACTGTTAAAGAAGACTGTAGAGATTATGAAGTGACCGAATGGATAAGAATAAATATAAGAACGAGTATTACACGATGGGACACATGGACTGGATACGAATACCAACTTTTCTCTCTTGGAACCATATATTTCACTGAGCTGCGAAAATCAGAAGACAGATCGGTATGCAAGACGTTTCGACAAAATTACATCATTTATTTACAGTTTTCATGAACATATAAAACTATCAGGTCAAAAGTTGGATCATCATCATGAATATCAACATAGGGCCAGGCATTAAGGTGTAACGGTCCAAGTTGCCACACTTCATATCAGTACATCAAGTAAAACGGCAGTCAAGTGCAAGATCAAGATAAAAAAATTCAGTCAGAAGAAATATAAAGTATGAAAAGAGAGAAAGGAAGAATGAGAAGATGGTGAGATTCGGTACTGCGTAGTTAAGATGAGGATAGTGTATGTATACATCTTCGCCACTCACATCGGTTCTCAGCCATATCACCTAGAGTCTCCAACCACTGGTTCCTCTTGTGCCGCGGACCCCAACCATCCAGTCCACATCGCCCCACATGGCTCAAACCAACAGTCAGAGACTTCATGCATTGATGCCACCTCGGGCCTTTTTTTCAGTCTGGACCTACTTCGCCCAGATGGGGACTAGGCATACGTAGTACGTGTCCCAAGCATGTCAGTCGATGAAGGTTCATAACCTCGTCAACTAATTTACCTCTACTCCCTAAAACGCTATACCTGACGCCTGCATTACTCACGTGGTAACACCACGGAATACGGCCTATACTACGAAGGCAACGGTGGTCGAACACCACTCGATGATCATAGCTCCCTGGACATCTCACCATAGGCTCTAACATGCCGACAAGTGTTCGAGTAGAGGGCTTTCAATAAGGTGATGTACTTACTAGGCCCGCCTTTCAGTGACAGACATTGCCATAAGACTTCTGGATCAACGGAGTCAAATGCCGCCTTTAAGTCGAGAAATACAACTATTGTCGGGCGTCTGTAAGCGTGCATATGTTCCAGGACCTGGCGCAGTGTGAATATTTGATCAGTGCACCCGCGTCTGGGTCTTAAACCTGCCTTGTTTTCTCGGGCTTGGTGTTCCCGAGCTCCACTCAGGCGTCGGAGAATTGTAGAACCTAGGATCTTGGACACTATGTTCGTGAGGCTGACTCCTCTGTGGTTATCACAAGAGGACTTCTCGCCTTTCTTGAAGACTGGGATGATGAGTGACTTAGACCAGTCGGAGGGGATCGTATTTGATTCCCTTATACTGGTTAACACTTCCGTCAACCTAAGAGCACTGCACCACTATTCTTGTATACCTCTGGAGTTAGTCCGTCTGGTCCTGCTTCCCTTCCTCGTTTCAGGCTACCTACCGCTTCCTCAACTTCTTCAAGTGTTTGGGGGGCCTGTCTGTATGTCGCATTCAGGATCCGACTGGATAGCGGGCAGCGCAATGGTGGCTGGAGGCCAGTTAAGCTGTTCTTCGAAGTGTTCTGCTCCTCGTTCCAGTCGTCTCCCCTGCGAGTGAATCGCAGGCCCGTCCTTCTCTGTTATAGCCTCACTAACTGTTGTTGACCATTTCCCCCCAGTCTCCTTAGTAAGTCTAAGGTACCTGAAAGAGATTTGTGTGACCACAGAGCCCATCGGAGGTCTGCTTGAGGCCTGTCACATGTGACATTTTGAGTATGATTATTTTGAACTTTTGTATTTTCGGGGCCGGATGGTCGAAAGGAAACGATAAATGAACCAAGACCGCCGGTCCGGCAGACTGTGGAGTATGGTAGACTGTGTTATTTTTGGGGTCGACTTTTTCTAAACCCTCCTTTCCACTGAGAAGGCAGCATCAGCATGGCACTGGTAGTCATCCAAGGGAAACACCTTACTGCTGTCACATCCCACCCAACTAGCAGCAGTACGACTTCGCCCTCAGACCCCCATCATAGTGTAGCAATTTACACTATAACGGTAACTGCTTTTCGTCTAACCACTATCCAACAGACCTTTCTGGTATGGTAGAACCTCGAGGGAACAAGTGTTCCACCAGCATAGGTTTTTGGGTCATCGTGATATGCAAGCCCGACCACTACGTCAAGGTAGCAGCTATCGGTCGGGATATTTGTTTCAATTGGTCATCTGTAGGAAAAAGTTGTCCAACAAGGTTTTTCCTGGACACACAGTAACATAAAACAAAAGTTGAAATCCAAAACTTCTATCCTGGCGGTTAAGTCCAAATATTGATTTCCATTTAGGCCGCTCTTCCTATCAAGGTTAGTGTTCAGAATCGATGCCAGTGGCCCAGACCTATCCATATGTTATCGTCGTCTTAATCATACTGAATTCAGTGTCTTCTTATCCCACCTTCCTCTTTTTTTTAGTGCTTGTCATCGATTCTTCTTTCATCTTAGTAGTTTCTCGCTCGATGCGCTGACATGAGATGTGGAAATTTGGACCGTTACTCAGTAATTCTAGGTCTCATATTGATGCACACATTCTAACACTTTTCAGTGGGTGAAGAGTGTCTCCAAAAAATAAAGTTTATTGAGTCATCAGAATTCGTGAATCGTATTGATAGCACAAATTTTACTTTGCATCACTTCCTCTTTTCATAATTTCAGTGAAAATTGGAAAACTACTGAATACAGTTTTTGAAATGATCTCACAAGTCCGATAGAATTATTGTTCTCATCACAATGACAATATTAGTTAGAAATTTCTCTTAAGTTCTTGATTACGCGAAACTCACGTTGCAAATAGGATATTTCTATCTGGAGGTTTCGTGGAGGTCACGGGTGCGCACTGCTGAGGAGTCCCATACTGGGACGGAATAGCTGTTCAGTGCTCCCAGGTTTCCAATATTCTTCCAACTTGATCCCAGTCCATGATAAATTCCAACCATCAATCAGTCATAAACCTCCAGAAAGAAATAATCTAGCGCCCATTGGTGACTAGCTCCGAGAGATGATTCCCGAAGTTCCAATGAGAAGTCGTGACCAGTGGAGTCAACCAAGCCAAACTTGAAGACAGTTCCATATTAGATTTGTTTATTTGATATAAAGCGCACAGTGATACAGTATTATTTAATTGATTACGTTTCGAGCATAAATTATTGCTCATAATCATATCAATGTAATTACACTTCTTTCGACATCTGATTTTATAGTCCTGTCACCTGATCTCTCTTTGTTTTTTTGTTTTTTGATTGGTAGTAAAGTTTTCCATATCTCTGGTATAGGTGTTGCGTCATTCCTATTACATGTGTTGGGTGTGGATTCGATGAACAAAGATTCAGTAATTAATCTCTCTCTCCACCTAGCTATATTAGACTTAAGTACAGTGGTTTTGTCCCATCCTATTGTGTGGTTGTGTGTTAATGAATGTAATGCAATGGCTGAGTGTTTTTCTAGGTTATTGATCTTATTGGGGTCTGTCGTTCTATGTTTAGCTAAATTCCTATGTTCTGTTAATCTAACTGACCCCGACCGGCTAGTTTGACCTATGTATTTGACTTCACAGTCATTACATGGAATTTGGTAGTTTACTGCAGTTTACTATCTTCATAATTTTACATTTAAGCTGTTCAGTTTTATTCCGAATGGTACTTAATTTCTTAATAAAATTGAACAGCTTAAATGTAAAATTATGAAGATAGTAAACTGCAGAGACTATGGATTTATAATAGAAACATCAGACAAAGCAAGATTAGCTACTCTCAAGAAATCTAGAAGAAATCAAATCAAAAAGTTCAATAAACTAATGCAAGAAAAATATGCTTCGGAAAACAATGAAATTACAAAGGAAACATCATCGAACATCGATAGAACAAAGTGGGTAGTCAATCTCTCCTCGAAAGCCTTAAGCTCAGCTGAGATGAAAGTACTTGAAAAAGGACTAAACTTCAACATAACAGTAGATCATCTAAAACCAGAAGATGTCATACCTAGCATAGAAGTAGCATTAAGCTCGGTGGATGTGACAACTGCTGAACAGGTTAGAGCGCAGTGTGCATTAGCACTTAAAAAACAAAAGAAGACACAGCGAAACTTAACGAAACTGGAAAATTCAGCTTTAAACAATCTACGAAAGGATAATAGTATAGTAATTGCTAAATCTGACAAAGGTAACTCAACAGTAGTTATGGACAAATCGGATTATCTTAAAAAAATGGATGAACATATCCAAACAGGGCCATATGAAGAGATTAAGAAACCTATAGATACTGTCATGAATAAAATTAAGAAATCTACAACAGATCTGATACGCCGACTGAAGCCATCTCTAGGTAAGTCCGAATGGTTTACTTTAATGCCAAAAACTAATAATCCTAGCAGAATTTACGGTACTATTAAGGTTCATAAAGCAGGTTATCCCATTAGGCCGATAGTTGACTTCCGAAACACACCAACATATGAGATATCAAAGTATTTAGCATCAGTATTACGTCCTGTTAGAGACCGTTCCAACTCTAGACTAGTAAATTCTTACGAGTTGAAACAAAAACTTAATGACCTGCACATAGAAGAGGATGAAAAAATGGTTAGTTTTGACGTAACAAGTCTTTATACTAAAATACCAATCAATATGGCACTGGAGGCAGTCAGAAATCAACTAGATACTGACTCACAACTTACTCAAAGAACCAAGGCATCGGTTGGTGAAATCATGTTAGGAGTGCAGTTATGCTTAACCTCGACAGTCTTCAAGTTTCAGGGAAAGATATACAGACAAACAGAAGGAGTAGCAATGGGATCACCAATATCCCCTATAGTAGCAGATATATTTATGGATAGTTGGGAAGATATGGCTTTACGAACATATAATCCGACACCTAAGATATGGTGGCGATATGTAGATGACACATTTACAGTGTTGAAATCGGAACATATCGACAGTTTCTTGACACACATAAACTCAGTAGTTAACGCAATCCAATTCACCTACGAAGTAGAAAATGAACAAGGAGAATTACCTATGTTGGATTGCAGAATAAAACGAAGGATAGATGGTGGTTTAGATACTACCGTCTACAGAAAACCAACACATTCTAACAGGTATCTAGACTTCAAGTCATCTCATCCAGTGTCAGTTAAAGCGGGTTTAGTCAAATGTCTAAATAACAGAGCTGAGAAACTCACTAGTCATTGTAAGGACTTAAATAAGGAATTGAAACACATAAAAGAAGCGTTAATAACTAATAATTATCCCCATCATTTTATTAAGAAATTCACACGGACGCATAAGAAGCAAAATAATAACACTAATACAAATACAAATAATAGTGACAACATAAGTAGAAAGGAAATCAGCACCTCTATTGTGATACCATACAAGGAAGGAACATCAGAAACCATACGTAGGATTCTCAACAAGGTTGGAATTAGGGTGGCATTTAAACCAACAAACTCACTTAGAGGTAAGCTGTGTCGGCTAAAAGATCCGATAGAACCAATTAAGCAAAATAATATAATCTACCAAATTCCATGTAATGACTGTGAAGTCAAATACATAGGTCAAACTAGCCGGTCGGGGTCAGTTAGATTAACAGAACATAGGAATTTAGCTAAACATAGAACGACAGACCCCAATAAGATCAATAACCTAGAAAAACACTCAGCCATTGCATTACATTCATTAACACACAACCACACAATAGGATGGGACAAAACCACTGTACTTAAGTCTAATATAGCTAGGTGGAGAGAGAGATTAATTACTGAATCTTTGTTCATCGAATCCACACCCAACACATGTAATAGGAATGACGCAACACCTATACCAGAGATATGGAAAACTTTACTACCAATCAAAAAACAAAAAAACAAAGAGAGATCAGGTGACAGGACTATAAAATCAGATGTCGAAAGAAGTGTGATTACATTGATATGATTATGAGCAATAATTTATGCTCGAAACGTAATCAAGTAAATAATACTGTATCACTGTGCGCTTTATATCAAATAAACAAATCTAATATGGAACTACATTCTACCACAGTGCCCAAGTTTTTCACTTATATTAATGAAACTTGAAGACAGTTACCCAACAACGACATTGGATGTAGGTCACACTATATCGTGAACTGACAGAAGAAGGAATTATGGACCATTGGATTCCAACCCAGTGGCTCAATAGTAGTGTGCTGGCCACGGAACCTGAAGGTTTTAGGTTTGATTTGTGGAGGATTGGTGTGCACTGCTGAGGAGTCTCACAGTAGGACGAAACAGCTGTCCAGTGCTCCCAGGTTTTCAATATTCCTCCAACTTATATCAGTCCATGATGAATTCTAACCTAGAATGGGATATTTGTTTCTCTTTAACGATGTTATTAAACCTCCAACATATTATTTATCGAATAGGTTCATTGACATAGTAACTGCAAAAATCCATCATGTTACTGGATCTCTGTAGTGAATCAAAACGATGACGATTTTCATATTGGCTAACTTACAATTCTTTGAATGTTAATTCTGAATTCAGTAGTATCAAAACTATATTGATTCAAGAAAATGTCATTGTTTGTAGATAGTTGCATATTTGCTTTGTTTGACCTTCAATGTCAAATAATGAAATTGTAACAATCTTATGAATTATTTGGTCTATCCACTGAGATATAGGTATTTTTTCTAACTAGAAAATTGAAGTGAAATGCCCTCGTTGATCTTGTGCACTTTGGCGCAGTGAGCAGTCAGTGACACCTATTTTGTGAGGGATAATTATATTCCCTAGCTACCCTAACCTGGGTAGTAGTTGGAGGAGTGTTTAAACCCATAACTCATTGATTAAAAGTCAACTCTCTAAACCAATGAGGCATAATTAAAGTTCCTATTTGATATGAATGTCAATAGGTATCAGCTCTCATATTTGAAATTCTGCAAGTATCATCTATTTTTTTATATTGATAAAATCAAAGCAAATTATTACGAAAAATAACCTCTCATTCTAAAGTTACCATCTTGTTTTTTACCTTTCAAACTCTTATCTCTTATGGATGTTAAGAGTTGGTTCACAGAAAACCGTAGTTTCAGGCTGTTTATCTATTAAAACGCATCAATAGGGTATTAATGAATAATATGACGTTAATTTTACTCTCTTTTTTTTTCTAGGTAACGAAAGCTTACCGTCGAGCTGTAGAACATATATGTAAAGTACATGGAAGACCTTATCCGTATACAGATGGAAAATCGACAGATATTGCTGTTTTTATCCTGTAAAAAGATCTTAACTAGTTTTCTTGTACAAAAATATATTTACAAATTCAATCTAGTAGCATTCAGTTTTTATGAATTTTTCAACAATGTTGCTAATTATATAATATGTTCCTAATGATTTTCTTACCCCTCTCTCCTATTGTACAATATTTATTATTCCAATTCGATTGGTTGTCAGAGGTATTATTCAAATGAAATGTTTACATGAATGTCTGTTAATCTCTGCATATTTCTTAAACCAAATATATTTTTATCTTGTTTCCTCCGTTGTTTTCTCTTACCATTAATATAAATGAAAGTCTCTTAACTCACGTTTATCGCTTCAGCTTCTTCAATGTGCGAATCCGCCTAGATAGATATCTTGTGCCAGACATATAGTTGCAACGTAACATACTGAATGACTAAAAGCATTAACTTTCATTGTTATTCTTTGTCCCATCTCTGATTTCAGGACTAATCATGACTCAGGATGCTATTAGTTTACGGAATAGATGGCAAGAAGTCTATCTCATATTGTTTTCGACTCGTCAGTTTGATTTATCCGAATCCCTATCAATTTTCTCAGTAAAACAACTTCAACTCAATAGTTATCACTTCAACTTTCAAGACTTTACTCAATGCACCGTTGAGTTGTGGAAGTTACCGCTTGTGTAACAGATGTTAGCTATCATTTAGACCTTTCAGTTTCCGCTATAGTATGCAGAATAGACCGAATTTTTGGGGCGACATGTAAACTCCCGGCATCCCAAAAACTTATGGTTCAGTAGACTCACTACGAGGTAGGCTAGTAATCAGCTTATAATGACATCTCATGACCGAAAACGGTTTTCAAAGACTTGAGGCAATCAGAAGTAAAATAGTCTACATTATACAAAGCTGTGCGCGAAACTGTCTATCAGCACAGTGGGATCATTCATGTTTCTTGGTGTAAGATACAAATGCAATCCAGTGGCTATACTTAGCTTAATGCGTCAGATTGTGACTCGTATCTGATAGGTTAGGGTTACTCGGGTGTTCAGACCTTGCCAGTTTAGGGATCTACGTTTATGATTCAATATATAAAAGCTAAATGTAAGTCTCACGCATTTAGATATACTATTGTTATACACTTGCTTCCCTTTACAATTTTAAATGAAGTAGGAAGGAGTTCGTTTACATGATACAATAGACTCATATTTTCTTGCATTCCAACCAGCTACTCACAAACTAACTATAATGCTGGAAATTTTAAACGCAAATGACAACACACTTGAAAGTTGATGAGTGAAATAAGCAGTAAAAGTGTTTAAAAAGCAATATTGTAAAAATATATATATATAATTAACAAGATTGCTACAGGCATTCCTGTAATTAATCGGAAACAATCTGTACGAAGAATATCTCAGTAAATCTTGATAAGGTTCTACAATCATAAAATGGGATGTGAATTAGGGACTGTAAGGAAATTGAATTTTATTTTTTTAATTTGTCAGTCTTCAGGTGCAAATGAAGTGTTTTGGTAAAAGAAAAAATAAGGAAGACATGAGTAGCCTTTGGCTTACCGAAGACACCAAAGGAGGAATAACGCTTGAACATAATCTTTCTGAATCCGACAGTTCAACTATGTTGAGCAGGCGTTGGCGAGCTATACGTGGTATTGCTTTTGTTGCATAGTGTATGACATTAAAAGCTATATTAGCATTTGTGTGATGCTCTGTATCTACTAGGTGTTCTAAGATAAGACTTTTCACTTCACATTTCCCAAACTAAGCTGGTAAATGTTTTCGTATTCGGAGATGCACGTGCATAATTATGCGCTTTATGTAACTTATTCCACAGGAACAGCTAAATTGATTTAAGCAGGTTATGGAGCTAAGACTATCCTTCAGTATCGGATTCGCTGGACCATTGTTTTATTCAGGTTGTCTTTGCATATCATTCGGTAGTCGCTTTGAAAGGCTCGAAGCCTCTCATTTTATTTACAATCTGTGCAAAAATACGTAACTGATCCTTTTTCGTATCGAATACGCCCAAATTCAGAGCACAAAAACAACGGATGAAACATCCACAACTCGAGCTGCAAATGTCACTCTTGACTAGTTAATAAAGTGTGATTATACCTTGGGTTTTCAAATTCACAAACCACACGATTTTAAACTTAATTTTTTACTGCTTTCAACCCCCTTTAGTCATAGAATCTATATGCACTTCCTGGTGATCTCTACTCCATTTTCGTATGATATCGCTGCATACCAGATATTTCTAGTTGATTTACATCAATTTCTTTACTAGAATTACGTCAAATTAACAAGCACTAACATTTCTGGTAAACAATTATGCTTATTGATGTACTTGTAATTCTCTGTTGTTTTTATTGGACCGAATTGTTCGACCTCTACTGGCATATGGACTCCTAAGCGGATGTCTCGATATTGTCTGAATGTTAATTATGGTAATTTGGTTGGTTGTGGCTAGCAGAGGAATCTAGGACGAAACGTGCGTCGTGGACTCCTCTGCTAGCCATAACCAGCCAAATCACCGTAATTATGCTTATACCTATGTACTTCTTACTTGGAACTAAAAGAAATCGGTTTCATATTTGGAAAGTAGTTCCTATGCCCTCGTGGATAAACAAACATGAACGCGCACGTCTCATTATTTTATTTGATATCACAGACAGTGATATTGTTATATTTACGCATTTTCAGTTTTTGAAAAATCATTCGATTCAATTACTGCACTTTTTAAAATGGTACAGACGTTTCCCTCAAAATCGCTTTTGAAAATATCTCGAGCTTCCTAGAAAGCTTCACTACTTTAGAGTGACCTTAATTGAGAAAACACCGCGTTCCTTTAGAGTAAACTTGGTCTGTAACAATTATTCAGATATTAGCTCAGAACCGATGAGAGAATAAATAGGCAAGGATCCGAGTACCTCTATATTTCCCTCAGACAAACTGACGAGATCGACGTAGAATCTCACAGAAGTACGTTGGTTAAAGTCGTCACACTTTACAACAATTAATAATAAAAAATTAATATTAAAGTGTACGGGCGGAAAGGGGATTATTAAATGAAGGTCAGCGGAAATATTCAAACTTTTGAAGCTGTCAAGTTAAGGAAATATCAGCACCATAATGTCCGAGTTTCAATCATATCATCAAAGGTCTCAAACTATTGATTCTTATTATCTCAAAGACCTTCACCAAGAAGTCTGCATTCCCCTGCACGACTCAAATCGACAGTCAGAGGATTCATAGACTAGTACCACTTTTCGGTCTGGCTAAAAAGAGCCTTCTTCCAACTTAATCCTATTCCACCTAACATTGGATATCGGGGTAGGTTACGGCTCGGCATACGTAACATATGTCCCAACCACTTCATTCGCTGAAGGTTCGCAACAGGATCAACCAATTCGCCTACAAACTTTCGCCTGATCTCGATGTTGCTCACACGATAGTTCCACTGGACGTGAGCAGACATACCTGAGGTCAAAAACCTGTAATCTCTTCACATCCTCTTCTCTCAACAGCCAGGCCTCACAGAACAGAGTGCAATATACTCGTTCTTAAATAAGTGGTAGTCAGATATCCCACTGCCTCTAGAGATGAAGTAATTTAGCAAATGCCGAATGAATCATCTGTATTTAGTCTGTGATTTCAACAACAACGATCCCATTTGAAAAGATGAGGCTTCGAAGGTATGCGAAGCGGTCAAAGGGCCTGACAAATCTACCCCCTATCTTTAGGCTTAAAATGGCTCCATACCAGCCATAAAGCACAATACTACATGTGACAGGTTCAGAAGGCATGCCGAACATACGGTGGTTTCTGCTGAAAGCATTAATAAGACCTTAATTTTGTAGTCCTCTTCGGCTAATGGGACAATGCCGTCTGCGAACTCAAGGTCAACCAGGTTACCTTTCGGAAGTCAGTCAGTCTCTGTAATGTCGAAGGTGTGTAGGGTTACGTCCAATAGTATGTTTGTAACAAAGTTAAACAGAAACTGTGACAGCCTGCATCCCTGGGAGATAGCACTGATTGTTGTCACTTTAGAAAACAATAGGTCCATATATGGCTACGTGTGTTCGCGTAGACAGCCTTGATTAGCATTCGATGACTACTCAGTATTCCTTTCACAATCAGAAACCCCTAAGATCCTCTCGTCAAACAGCATCGAATGCGGCCTTCAGGTCCGAAAGTATGGTAGGTATCGAGCGTCGAAAAGTATGTCTGTGATCGATAGCCTGTCGGAGAGTGAAGATATGATTGATGCACCCTCATTTAGGTCTGAAACCTTCATGATTATGTCCAGGTCCGCTTAGGATTTATACAACTACGGAGCCCAGAGTCCTGGATGCAAAGTTATTTAAACTGATTACCTTTTGGTTGTCACGAGATGTCGCTCCGTTAATAAACTTATAAAATTAACAATACTGACAGATCTGACGGGACTACCTCTGATTCCAATACACTGTCTGACGCCTCCGTTGCTGTACACATTAGTTTTCTAACTCCATTCTCATAATCTTCTGGTGGAGGACCGTCAGATCGTGTTGCTTTGTATCCTACCAAGTTTCCAACAGCCTTCTTCTCAACTTTGAGGATATCTGTAAAAACTGTTATATATGCCCCACTTAAGATCGAGATGGACGCTGGGCAACAGGAATGTGGCTGGGAAGCAGTTGAGTAAAGCAAGACAAAGTTGGTCCTCAAACTTAAAGTTAGTGCCAGTTAGAAACAAGTGAATGATGTTGCACAAATACAAGAGAAGATTACTGTTGTTGACTCAGCGTAGGATTCCGTTTAAGTTGCTTTCTGTTAAGAATATATTTGAACGTCTTGCTTCATTTGGGTAAATTGATAGCCTTTAATAGAAATCATCCTTTTGCATCATTTAAGCTTCAGTCGATGAGCAGAGATCATGAATAGGTATTGGCAAGTATCAGGACCTTTCTAATTTCCTACAGATCTATCCAGTCGAACAGCATATAGATAGCTGTATACTGGTATTTAATCGAGAAG